GGAAGTGAAGCTCTGTAGTTCCGGACCGTTGCCACAGTACTTGATGGCCCCCTGGTCCTGAGCAGTCAATGAGGGGTTGTGTGTTCTCGGTACGCTACGGCACAAGTGCTCTGAAGGGGGTGGGAATTTGGGCAACGCTTAGATGGAACTAAGGGCGGAAGGGTTTTCTCATTCATTCTGTCACCTGCACCTCACATGCTCCCAAAAGTTGAAGCCCAAGAGGCACCAACTATTGAAACAATAACAAGACCTCGTAAAGGAAGGGCGGGGCGTGGGGGCAAGAATTCGCCTTGAAAAGAGGTCCCAGAGTTAAAGGCTTCTTACAAGCGTTTTAGGGAGAGCTTCCACACTGTGGTTAAATTCATAGGATGTCCCATAGGACGATTTAAACAAGAATGAATATTATGGCCTTCTTTTTTGCCTTAAAGACAATTTTTAAATAAATATATATATATATATATATATATATTCCCCACTAGGGGGGAATATATATATATTCCCCCCTAGAAAATGAATCCAGGGGCTATCTACCCCTGAGGTCTTTTTATTTTATTTATCCTCAGATCTTTTTATTTTTTATTTTTTATTTTTTATTTTGAGACAGGGTCTACCTAAATTATCCCAGCTGGGCTAGAATTGCAACCCTCCTGCCTCAACCACCTCAAATAGCTAGGATTACAGGTGAATGCTACCCCAGCAAAATAAATGTTAAAAAAAGAAAAAACTAAAGGAGAGTAGAAGTTATCAAGATGCGATATATGTATCAATCTCCCAAGATAAATTTAATCACTATGTATTGGAAATATATACTAATTGAAAACATTTTTTAAAACGCACACACAAAGACGCCCAGCTCCGGAGGCTTAAGAAGGAAAACTGCAAATTCGAGACCAGCCTGAGGTACATACTTAAGGCTTTCCTAGGCTACATAGCAAGACCCCACTTCAAATAAATAAATTAATTAAATAATAAACCAACCCAGCAGACAGCACACACCTGTAATCCCAGCGCTCAGGAGGCTGAGGCAGGAGAATCACCAAGAGCTTCAGGCCAGCCTGGGCTACAAAGAGAGATCCTTCTCTAATTAATTAAATAATGATAGTAAAATCAGGCTGAATAACTCATTAAGTTCAGTACCAAAAAAGCTTTACTGATGATGACAAGAGGTACAAAAATGACTGAGTCATCAACCTTGACTTTGAGAAATCTATAGCCTACAAAGTGGGGGTGAAAGGGTGGGGCAGAGCAGAAACAGATGGTTTCAAAACTACATGGAGAATATGCATCTTGAATCCAACTCCCACCCTGAGGTGTATCTTCAGAGATCCATTTGAAGGAAACCTTTGATAAAAGTTGGGACGCGCAGTCACAGGAACTGGGAGCTCTGTGACTCATTCAAAGGGGAGAAACAGTACAGATCATGCCCAAGACTGGGGTAGCACAGTTACCAGGGGGAAAAGCTCAGAGCCACTGTAGGAGGAGAAAATATTAGAGAGGTGGGGAGGGCTCAGTTCATCAAGCCAGCAGATGACAGCTAGCATCACAAGGGTGGGGTTGATAGATTGTTTGTTTGTTTGTTTGTTTGATAGGGTGTCCCTATGTAGTCCAGGCTAGTCTTGAACACACTATGGAGCCTAGGCTGGCAATCCTCCTTCCTCAGCCTCCCAAGTGTTGGGATTACAGGCCTGTGCCACCACGCCCAACATTTGATAGATTTAATATGTGGAGACCGTCCTGCTGAGAGTTAGACCTCAATTCCATCCTCAGGCACCACAACCATTTGTTTACATTCAACCCACAAGCCACACTGGAAATATGACACTCATGAAACACCCTGGCAAAAGGAATGAGCAGAGACAGTAGGGACATCAAGCTAAGGGAAAGAACTCCAAGTTCTAGTTTTGAATGATCAGGTACAAACACAACAGGCATATTCCATTAGAAACTAACTTTATTAACTATGCAGACTGCATAGAATGAAAACCTCAATGTGATACTTCAGAGGTATACTAAAGCCCAGCGTGGAGGTGCATGCCTGTAATGCCACCACTCTGAGAGGCTGAGGCAGGAGAATTGCAAATTCAAGCCTGGTCAATTTAGAGACTTAGCAAGATCTGTCTCAAAATAAAAAATGTGAAACAGGGCTGGGGATGTAGCTGAGTGTGAAGGCTCTGGGTTCACTCCCCAGTAACTCCCCCCCCAAAATTATATATATGTATATATGAACTTAATTCTTTCCACAATTCTGGTCGCAGGCCAAATTGAATGAGAACAAAATCAAACTTAATGCCTAGGTTTAATGTTGACCTTATGGGGAAATTTGATTTGGTTCTCATCTAACTCAGTATGCAACCAGAATCGTGGAAAGCATTAAGTTCATAAACAGAGGTACCACGGTATACAGATCATCAAACCTTTAACTGTGCAGGGAAATAACACCCACCAGTGTCTATGGGTCGTGAATCGAAACTCGGCATGGGACATCTAGAAAGCTATGAGGTGACTTCCTTTATGCTCCGCTGCATTCTGTACATGCAGAGACTGAAATAAAAAAGCATGACATGATATGGAGATGAGGGCAAGGATGGCATGCTTGGTATGTTGGCACAGGATTTTGCAAAGAAAACAGCTTCAGATAGTCTCAGCAAGAGACAAGAGAGAAGTTCACATTCTTAGAATAATCAGGAAAAGTCCTTGAAGTCCAATGAGCCTTGTTCCCCAGCCTAGCACAGAAGTCTGTGAGCACTGAGTAGCCTAGGGCACCCCAGGCAGAAGATAGGAGCCTCTAAATATTAAGAGTATACACGAAGTTTCAGACCAGACCAGCTGCCTCCATGTTCTCCCCAACCTGCACACAGGGATAGAGAGCAGAACCTCCAAGATGAGCCCTCTCTCACCCCACGCACAACCCCCAGATTTCAATGCTGCAACCATATCAAACAACAGCCCTAAAGACAGGAAGGGCTCCTCCTCATAAGCTAAACCTGCTGCTCAGGGTGGCTCAAGAGGCCTGAGAGGTGAGCAGGGATGTAAAAAGGAATCCTATTTGAGTGATGGAACTCCTTTCATTTATTTGAAATGAGATTGGGGAAGAAGATTGTAAGGTCAATGGTATTTCTGCCTGAAGAGGTGCCTGAAGCTAAAAACTGCCAAGAGGACTCTGGGAGAGGCAGCCAACTCACAGATGCCCTGGATCCCTTGTGCCAGTCATAAAAAGGTAATAACTATCCAACCCTTGCCAATTTACCAGGGACCCAAAGGGTAAAAATGAATAATTATCCTTCAGAAAACAGAGAAAAAAATGTCAGATCCTTGGCAAACTCCTCTCCTTGCAAAACCCTTACCACATACTCTCATTGTGGTCTCTCAGGCCAGCCCATATCAGACTTCCAGGTATTTGCTAGCCTGCTCAGCCCAGTTAATGATCTTTGGCCCCAGTCAAGACAGTGGGACTATCCTATACAAACTGACAGCTACACGGTGGCCTGGCCCACCCAGGACAGACAACACAGGGGCCTTGGTGGGTTTGCTCTGTGCTCGGTTGAGCCCGTCTGTCTGTGGGCTCAGAGGGCAGTACTCCCTGCTCCTAACTGCAGCTGCAGGAGAGAGGGGAGACCCAGTCCACCTGGCACTCTTGTTTTCTCAAAGCCTGGCTCAAGGTCATGCATAGGGTAATCCTGACTAATGTCTGTGGAGTAAGTGAATGTGCCCCTCTTAAGAGATGACAGGAATTCCTGGTGAAGAGCACCAGGGATTGGGATAGCCCAACAGAAGGTCACATCCTCTCTATGAAGCTGGCATTATGCAGTTACACCCATATTGAGGTGATGGCAAGGCCCAAGGGGACTATGGACAGGGCTTGAATGGGATCATGGGAGTAGAGCTTCTAACACATGGTGAGCATTAATATATTATTTGTTGTTGTTAGAATCCTTATCTCCCCCCAGCTTAAGGATGTGAACACCCACTAGGAGCATTCATTACTTGCCAACCTTCCTGGGCCAATAAAGGCTCCATTCTGGAAGTCCTTTCAAGGTTCTCAAGTTCTTCACAGGCACAGACTGGACTCAGAAATATTTTTCACTAAGGATGAAACTTTAACTTTGCCATAGATATTGGGTCTGGGTGCTAGGGCCTTCTTGGGGACGAAGGAGGTCATTTAGCTAGCCTCCCTCCATTCACAGAAGAGGAGTTGCAAACTGGAAATGGTTCATTTGTCTCTTACTGTGCCAGGCTCAGAATCTAGGGGTCTACACATGCAAGTCAATACTCTTCACAGTCCTCTGAACCCTCCTCCCCACACTCTCTCTTGGTTCAAAGGTAACGATCTAAGAATATCCCTAGATTTCCTTTTGACCTGTCTGTAAAATCAGGCTCTCTGGCCTCTTCCAGATAATAACACTCTCCTACCCTGCCAGGTGTCAAGGCAAGTGCAGTGCAAGGGCCATGCCACTGACTTGCAGTGACCCTTGGGAGCGGTTAAGAGCCATCCCAGTGCACAAATGGAAACACTTAGGTCCAAGAAGATGTATCTTGCCCAGGTCTCACACTATAATTGTGGTTTTTTGGGTGTGTGTGTGTGTGTGTGTGTGTGTTTTACTGGGGACTGAACCCAGGTCCTTCATATTGAGCTACATCCCCAACCCTTTTTGAGATGGGGGTCTCACTAAGTTGCACCTCTAAGTTGCCCAGGTGGGACTCCAACTTGCAATCCTCCTGCCTCAGCTTCCCATGCGCTGGGATTACAGGTGAGTGCCACCACACCCAGGCAGGTCTCATAGTGTGAGATAAAGCATGAGGAAAGCAACATTGAGAGAACTTTCCAAAATGGACTCAGAAAAATTGACGCAGGACTTATGTGCTTCCAAAGCTATTATTTAGGAATACCATACACACATAGGTCACATCTACCCTTTAATCACAGGAATGTGAAATGATTTGAACCCTGAACCACTGGCTAATTACACTGTGCCCAGAGACTCAAGATGCATAGGAAGAGGTTATCAGACTCTTGTTTTATGGATAGTTTCACTAAATATACACTTTCTTTATCTTTTATCTCTCAAACAGTCTCTGTTCTTTCTCAAAGAAGATTCCTACAAAAGTTTTCACTAGTGCATCCCAATATAAAGTCCCACTTTGCATTCCTTCCTCAGAACACTTGTTCAGAGCTATTTCCCTAGTTGCAATTTCTAAAACCCCTGGTTTTTTAGTTTGAATTGATCGACAACAGGGTCCACTGCAAAACCAGGAAGTTACTCAACTTTAACATCACCCTGAACATAGACGCTCAACAGAACATAGGAGTCAAGGGGCCCAGGGTGCCAGGCCTTAAATGTGTCAGTCCTTCCTGGGCAAAGCAAGGACTGTAATGCCAGGATCACTGCTTCTCGTCACACAGCAGTTCCAAACGGGTCCTCTCACTACCATTACACACTGGTCCGGACCCAGGCCCAGATCCCTGGTGAGGAACTCGAAGAAGCCGGCGCTGGTTCTGCTCCGCTGTGCCCACCAGGCAGATGGAGGGCAGGAGCAAATGCGTGCAGGGCTCCGCGGATGCACACAGCACCACCGTCAGGCCAGGCCGCACCTTTACAGTCACACGTCGTAGGGGACAGGAAAATTTCACCTGAAGGTGGAGTATGGGACCAGGGCACGTCGCAGCAGCAGGGCAGAGCACAAGAGCGGCTGGGTTCCTTGGAGGTCGCGTACGTCGGGGGCATGGCTGGGGAGGGCTAGTACGGGCAACGGAAAGGCAGGCCACCCGGCATCATGGGGCATGGAACGTGAGGGTTGGCGGGAGAATTAAGGTCCTTAGGGAGAAGAGTCCAGGTCACTTGAAAGGCGAGGTGTGGGCAGAACCTGACTGCTGCTCCCCAACCTCCCCTCGTCCAGGCAACCTCAATCCTCGCTCGCATCCTCGGGTTTGCCCAGGATGGCCGTGCAGACCCGCTTCTCCAGTCCCGCGGGAACACAGTCAGCTCAACGGTCAGCTGTCAGACAAGGCAGGGAGAGCTAGAGGAATAGCAGCAGCAAAGATGTTGGAGTAGAGTTGGAAGTTCCAAAGGGCAGCACAATACGGAGTAGGGGCGGAGCGCCACGGCAACCAGGCTCCTCATTGGCTGAGCAGACTCACCGCTCCCCAATTGGCTACCCAGAGGGCATCCCCGCCTCTGCAGACGGGACAGCTGAGCTAGCTCTGATTTCCGGAAGTTCTGTAGGCAACCCCCCCAATAGACTTTGGTATTATCAAGGACCCTCCCACCCGGTCCAGCTGGGCTGCTGGTAGTTTTCCAAAGTCACTTGAGTTGGAACTTTCAAATACAGTATAATCGGGCCGGGGATTTAGCTAAGTGGTTCCAGCGCCTGCCTTGCAAGCGCAAAGTCCGGAGTTCGATCCCCATTACCAAAACCAAAAACTCAAATACAGTATAATTAAAATTCTCTGAGTGTCTATAAACAAAGTCAATCACACATAAAAGTTACTATATAATTGTACATAATAGAGGAGGCTACAGGGAAGTCAGGGAGGTCAAGAAAAGTTCTGCTATGATCTTCCCTGTCCTGTTAACAGTTTATTAAATATCACATATCAGAGGGTCTTGGGTCACAAAGACAAGGTGGGTCGTGACAGTCTTGAGAGGAAATGGCAGGAACGAGTGACAAGTCTGGGAGCCAAAGTTGGGGATGGAGAAGGTAGTCGTCAGGACTAAGAGTAGGCATGGGAGGGCAAGGCTGCTCAGCAACACCTGGAGGGCCAAGAAATAACCAGGGACTTTTCTCCTTGCAAGGAAGTGCATGCACTAGCCACATACCCCACCTGTAGGAGATGGTGTCACCACAGAGACAGTGAAAGACCTAGGGGACTGAGGCCATTCCTGATCAGACAGCTCTTCACCTGGTCACCCTCCATCTGTGACATGTGCTTAGCCTGGGGAGCATGGACCCAGCTACCTGCCAGGACTGAGGGGAGAAAACACTGGGATTGAGAATCTCAGAGGGGTCATTTGACCTTGGAGCAGGGGAGGGGTCTGAAATGAATACAGCCAGCAGGGGTAGCTCAGAGGGGTTGGGGGCACTGGCATGCTGTTAGCCTCAGGGCAGTGAGAAATTGTGGAAAGTTTCAAAAGACAAGGGACCAGGCCACATAAGCATGTACGAAAGCTCTCCCCAGAGGTCAGGTTGAAGCCAGATGTTGGATTAAATGCGAGGGAAGACACAGAAGGAATGGCATCGTGACATCGAGAGGGAACTGTGGACATGTCCGGCCCACCGCTAAGGAGTCAGGCAGCCCCACTGCTTTATTTCAACAACCCAGCTTTTCCCTTGGTGGCTCCACAGGTCCAGGCCACCTGCTCACTGCAACAAAATCCACACTGAGTGCAGCAATTTCTCCTTCAAGGTAGGGGCCGGTAGAGGAGGCATGTCCTTGGCCTTCAGGACAACTGTGTGGGCCTCCTGGAAGAGGTCCTCCCGCACCACAGCCTCCACATGCCGGCGCCATGCATCCAACTTGGGTCGGCATTCAAAGACTTGGCAGCCAGTACTGACAGGCTATGGGAGAGGGAGCCAGGTGGAGACCCTGGGCACAGCCAAGCACAAGGCAGCATGGCTTGCTTTAGGTTTCCCTGATAGGATTTTCCCGCCTCCACCACATGTGTGATGGTTTGGGGGTGCCTCTCCCAGGGGACCCTGGGAAGCCACTCAATATCCCGACGTGAGCGCTTATGAGGGTTCATTTTATAGGTGAGGAGCCTGAGACTCAGGACACTGAGACTCCTCCAGAGTCCCACAACCAGAAAGGTCAACACAAGTGGGGAAGGCAGCTCCTTCCCAGGACTCCCTGCTATTCAGCAGGCCACCCCGCCCCCTGGCACTCACATGCATCAGTTCCGTGATGGCCATCAAGTCAGCCACAGAGATTTGGGGACCAGTGAGGAAGGCCTGATCCCGAAGGAACTTGGTCTCAAGCAGCTGCAGGCAACTGTCCAGCTCAGCCAAAGTGTACGACAATGTCTCCTGGGGCACCAGCTGATGCAGCACAACAGGGAACATCATCTGGTGGGCCAGTAGGGAGATAGAGTCAGAGCCAACCATGGCACCACAAGCCTATAATCCCAGCACTGTGGGAGGCTGAGGTGGGAGGATCACAAGGTCAACCCCAAGCCAAGCAACTTAGTGAGAACCTGTCTCAAAATAAAAAATAAAATAGGGCTGGAGATGTAGCTCAGTGTGAAGACCCTTGGTTCAATCCCCAGGACAGGTTAAGGGGAGATTCTACACAAACCCCATCCTTTATCCCACCCTCATCCCAACCATCACTAGTCCTATGGATTTTCCCAGTGCAGAAGCCATTCTGTCCCTACTTCCTACCACCTCTCAACTGCATCCCAAATTGCTCAAGGGGACTTGCGTGACTCTGGTGAGATGTAACTAAAAGGAGATGTTCCTAAACATCACGGCCAGCACTCTCTGCCATTCCCAGGACTTGGCCGCAGGTCTGAACAGAATACTTAAAACAGAAAGCACCATTCTTAGAGCAACCCTTGAGATGTTTCTGCCTCCCCTGGCTCACCTTCTGCCACATGGCCCAAGTGCAGCAACTCCGCAAGGCCGTGTGCTGCCAGGACAGGTACTCATCCACCCAGGCTCTGGCCTGCAGGTCCTGGGGGTACCAGTGGTCAGGGGTCTTGTACTTGTGACTCAGATACAGCAGAATGGCCACACTAGGGGAATACAGCAGGGGTGGAAGTCATGCCCCACTCACTCTTCAGCATTTGGTGGGGTGTGTTCACTATTCACACAGTACAGAGGAGGAATGTGAGGTTCACAGATGGTAGGAGGCCATCCAGTTCACACAGCCCTACACTGGGCCATTGCATTATCTGCACTAAGGGTACCAAGTGAGAAACAAAATACATGGATTTCAGAAGGAGCCAGGAGCTTGGAGAAGGCTTCCAGGAGGAGGGGGAACCCAGTGTGAGTCTTTTTTTTTTTTTCGTACTGGGGATCGAACTCAGGATCTTGGCTTATGAGGCAGGTGCCAGAACCACTGAGCTAAATCCCCGGCCCCTGAGTGTGAGTCTTAAAGAATGAGAGCAACTTGAGTACTACTCCCTACCATAACACAGGATGGACGGTCAGGAGCAAGGCCACTGCCCCTCTCACACTCTCCTGGAATTGGGAGAGGCCTCCCAGATGACAGGGAGACTGCATCCCACCTTATTCCACCTCCTCTCCACTTGCTAAGATTTTCCAGCCTCCTCTTCCTCAAAGCTCCCTGACCTCCTCCCCTCCCTTCTCTCTCAGTTCTCCAGGGCAACAGCACTTCCCCCAGGATTTGTAGGAGAAGTGGTCATTCTGAGGTGGCTGGTGCAGCCACTGCTCCATATTTTTTTTTCTCTTTTCTTCTGAAGCTTGGACTGGCAGGGAAGGGACCTGGAAACAGGTTGGGCCCTTAACCTTGTAGAAGTCCCACCCTTCTCCCAGTCTCAGTTTCCTCATCTGTACAATGCACTGGGCACCTCTGTTTGCTTCAGCCCACCCTCTACCCTGGGTCTGGTACTGGTCCTCAGGATGCAGAAACTGTGGCTCCTGACCACACACCTGTAATCCCAGCAATTGGGAAGCTGAGGCAGAAAGGCCACTGCTAGTTTGAGGCCAGCCTGGGCTATATAGTGAGTTCAAGGCCAGCCTATACTATATAGAGAGAGCCTGTCTCAAAAACAAACAAGCAAACTGTGGGCCCAGCTATGAATAGTGGATACAAACAGCTGGCTAACCCTGGGATCCAGGAATCTATTACCTCTCAGCCAAGATGAAGTCCTCATCCTTCAAGGCTGGCACCTTCCTCAGGGGGTTGACCTGAGCAAAGGAATCTGTGTAGTGCTGGCCTGTGGGAAAGATCAGTCAAGTGAGCAGGTCAGAGAAGAACCCCAAGCTCTCTGAGATCTCTGCTTGCTCCCACCCATAAATTCAGGCACTGGCTTTCTGAGGGGACCCCAGGAAAAAGGAGGCCCCTGTGCTGGTCACTGGATCACAGCTGCTGATCCCATCAGTGGTTCACCTGACCTGTGCCCATGCCCTGGAAGCCTGAGTCAAGCAGAATCTCAATTTGGGCTTGTGGCCAAGTGACCCACCTGCCATCCCCAGCCAGTTCCAATCTTGTGTTAGACACTCCAGGTTTGCCCCATCTGATTCATCTTCCTATCCCAGGTGGGGACTCAGGCCCTTCTGATCAGGCTGACTAAGGCTCAGTCACCGTTATTTCCAGCTCTCAGACCAGCCTTGGTTTTGCTGAGAACACCTGCCCTATTCAGCCACCCCGTCTCCAGCAGCTCAACACTTCTTCCCTTCCAGTGCTAACCCCCGCCCCCAATCTCCCTCCTTATTCCAGGTTCCCAGGTCTGGCGCACTTTCAAGTACCTCACCCTCCAGCCCAGGCCAGCCTGGAGAGGACACTGGTGCTAGGCTAATTTGTATGGAGCCAGAGAGCCTTGGTGGAGCCAGGCTTCAGCCTGACCAGAGGGCTACTCAGGGTCCTTGTACTAAATGGACATCATCACCCCTCCCACTTCTCCCTCCATAAACTGCCTGTGTCCAGCGCCTGTCCCATAGCAGGTGACCCAAGCCAAAACTATCAAAGGCAGCAGCAGGGAGGGGTCAACTGAGCGGGGGCAGTCCAGGGGGCTCTGGCTTGGTGCTGCCCTGCTGTCCAGTCATGGCCTGCCTCCTCCTCTGGACTCTGCTCCAGCTATGTTTTGCAGGCCAAGCAGACCAGCAATGCAGGGCCCTCCAGAAGGGCAAGAGCAAGTCATTAGCTAGAAAAAGCTGAAAAATGCCAAGGACGATATAAAAATCCAAGGAACATAGGCAGAAGTACTTAGGAGTGAAGAGGCTGGGGAAAGGGAAGGGGGTCTCCTTGCTGAAGATATAGAAACAGCTCCATTAAGGAAATGAGGAGACAGTTCAATAGTTTTCTGATCCGCGTTATCCTTCCCTCCCCACTCTCTGGGTCCTCTCCTGCTCCCTTTTTCCAGTATTTTGAAGAATGCCTTGTATTCCCTAGGCAAAGACTAGGATTCTTTAAAAACACAACGGGTAAACTGGTGCAACAGGTTCCACATTGGAGAGCTGATGTTTCCTACCTTTCTACACGCCCAGCCTGACCATGAACCGGGGCCGAGGGACTGAGGTCCGCCTGCACCCCGGAGTCCAGACTCCCCAGTCCACCTGCCCTGCCCACCTTTGAGCAGCTCCACCGTGCGCAGCTGGAAAGGGATGCCGTTTTTCTTGGCAAAGATGTAGACTGCGCGGCAGGGCTGGGACATAAGGTCGAGGTAGAGATCCAGGCCCATGGCGGGGTGGCATGCAGACCTAGGAGCTGAAACAAAAACTGCCGGAAGGAAGGAACGGCTGGGCCCCAGGCTGCAGACAGACCCAGCCGGAGGACCCCGGCCCGACCACGCCCTTGCTGTCCATTGGTTGGATCCAGAGAATTTTAGCCCGATCAGGCTCTTGATCAGGCTCTTGCGTCCTCCTCCGTCCCTCGGGTAGAATCTGGGCCGCAGGTGTTCTTCCCAGGTGGGTAGGGCACAAACAAGCCCGGACACCTTTCGGGGAGTGGGGAAGGGTCGCTGCCAGGTCAGACCTCTTTCCCGGGACCTCAATGTCCAATGTCCTTCATCAAATGGTGCACGGAGAGCCTTAATGAGAAACGAGACTCCAGCGATGCTTCCAATATAAACTCTCAGTGGATTTAAGGTGGAAAGACTTGGGCTGTGTGCGGTCAGCCCAAGCCCCCTCCCTCTACCCTGGAGAGAGCCAAGAGAGGAGTGGCCTCGGAGTCCCCTGGAACAGAGGGAAAAAGAAGAGATGGAGCCATTTCCCCACCCTGTCCAGGGCACAGCACCCAGGATGGAGGCTGGGGAGGATATTTGGTCTCTCACTGTTTGTAGAGGCCCGACCCACACCCAGAGAAGGACTTACCCCGCCCTCTCCAACCCCCAGGGTCATATTCATTACACTCCAGCTAATCCCTACCTGAGAAGCTAGCGGCCCATTAGATCCTATCCAGAGGACTGCAGGGTGCCTGGGATTGGACAAAACCTCCCCGCCCTTTTTGCAGGGCCAAGTCTTGCCAACTGCAGTTCTGGAGCTCCTGAGACCTATGGCCATGCCATTCCTATTTCCAAAGAGACTTTCCAGGGATGAGAAGACACAACCCCGAACCCCCTCATAGAATGCCCCTTGGAAAGAGGATAGGTTACTGGGAATCAAGAAAAGCTTTGTCCTCCTGGTTCTAAGAGATCTCTTTTAAGATTTATCCCCCGGGAGAGTAAAGGGCCTTCTTGCTACAACAGTACAGCCTTCTCCAGACTGAAAGGAGCCACATTCTCCACTCCCCATCCCCCCCTGTATTTGCCATTTCTTCACACGTCACCTTTGGCCCGGCTTACTGCAACATCTAATGTCCCTGCTTTCTCCCTGGATGCCTTCCAGACCAACCCCCACTAGCATCCAGAACACAATTCTACTATGAAATCTCAGTCCTTTGTTCCTCTTTATAGTTTACAGCCAAGTGCCTAGGAATGGCATTTATGCCCCTGCATCACTGGGTCCTGACCAGGAGACTTGCTGTTTGGATTTCTACCCTCCTGACCTATTCCTCAGGACAGAGACAAGGCCATGTCTTGGGAGACTGGCCTGGTCCACTGATCAACAACCATGCCTACAGCCAACACATGAGATGCTGCTGACCCCTGAGTATCTGACAAATCATCCAGCGAGAACCAGAAGACTATGGGATATTTGTGCATTTCACCCTTGGCAACCATCAGGGGGAAGCTGACCCTCAGGGCATGGGGGGGGTTGTCTTTTGGACAAAATCAAGACCAGAGCCAGTTCACAAGAAAGTCAAATAAATCACACAGTAGAGTTGGAAGCTGAGGCTCACACTGAGCCTAGATTTATTATGCAAACTTAACCAAAATGTAGTGATTAAAGGCCTGGAAAGAGGCAGTGGAAATAAAGGTGCTTTGTGAACTGCCAAGGGCAGTGCAAAGGTGAGACTTCCAAGCTCACCGGATCATGGCCAGCACCCCAGGCATCACCTTCTGCTTTATGGTGGGGTCAGCAGGTGGAGAGTCCTTCACCTTCAGGATGATTTCATGGGCCTCCTGGAAGAGGTTCTCCCCTACTGCAGCCTCCACTTGCCTGTGCCAGGCAGCCAGCTTGGGTCGGCCTTCAAAGACTTGGCAGCCAGCACCAATGGGCTATAGAGTGAAGGAGACAGAATGAGAATGCAGTGAAGCCAAGGACTAACCTCATCTACCTGGTTTGAGGACTCCAGAGCTCAGAAGAAGTTTCCACACATAAGCACAGCTCCACAGCCTGGTGGGGCAGCACAAACAGGACTTCAGCAACTGGCCAGCCCCTCCCCCCATCTAATCTGCCCACCTGGCACCTGACACTTACATGCATCAGCTCCGTGATGGCTACCAGGTCAGCCAGGGAGATTTGGGATCCAATGAGGAAAGCTTTGTTCTGGAGGAACTTGTCCTCGAAGACCTGCAGGGTGTCATCTAACTCTGCCAAGGTGGCTGCCAGCAGCTCAGAAGATACTTGCTCACCCAGGAAAACAGGGAACATCACCTGACAGGTGGGCAGGCAAAGTGGGGAATTAGAGGCCAGCCCCTCCCTTCGTTGAAGGAAGGCAATCCCCCAACATTGGAGCAGCCTTTGGATCTATGCATTGCATCTTTCTTCCCTGGCACAGTGAGGCTGGCATGGAAATCTCCAAGGGACTCCTTTTCCAAGAAACACTCTTGCTTTTCTGAACTTTGATTGAGCCTCTGGGGCATCAGAAAGAATGATGCTAATCTCTTACTCTTTTTTTTCTCTCAGTACCGGGGATCAAACTCAGGAACTTGCAGGTGCCTCAGGCAGGCGCAGGACCACTGAGCTAAATCCTGGGCCCACTAATCTCTTTGAGAATGACTCAAATAGGGACCTGAACTTTCCATACTTTTGGGGAAGGAAGCTTGATTGGGAATTTTTTTATTAGTACATTTGCAATACATGCTATTTACATTCATTTTGGGGGGATTGCTAGATATATATAACATATCTTTTTTTTTTTTTTTTGGTACCGGGGATCAAACTTGGGTCCTTGCGCTTGCGCAGCAGGCGGCGAAACCACTGAGCTAAATCTCCGGCCCCTATATAACATATCTTAATCATTTTTGATCCCCCCCATCCTCCCTCTTCTCTCTCGGGATTAGGAATCATATTGTCAGGTCTGACTTAAGTGAGTCCATCACAAAAAAATGGGACAAAGCAAGCAGGCTTCTTTTAGCAAAAAACAGCAGCTTCCCAGTAAATAGGGCAAATGGACTCAAAAGGAAGTATACAACTCCCCTGGTGCCAAGAAGCACAGTAATTGTGTACACACCTGAGCAGGCTGTCCTTGGGCACTCAAGTCATAAATATTTTACCCCAGATTCCTTAGCCCCTTCAAAACCTACATAAGCCTAATTTCTTTCCCAGTTAGTTGCTAATCTCTCTCTCTCCTGGTGTTAGCCCATCCACTCTTGGATGAAATCTCTCCCAGCTAGCTGCCACTTTCTCTCTCCCAGTGTCAGCCTATCCACACATGGATGTGATAAACTCAGCTTTTCCCAGCTAGCTGCTAGAATCTCCTGATTTTTAGTCCCTGTTAAATGAACTTTTCTTTTTCTCACAACAAAGAGCCTGTTTTTTGACAGGTGGATTCTTTATAACACATATGTCAGGGGTATGTGGTCTGAGAAATGTGTCATTAGATGATTTTGTCATTATGCAAACATCACAGAGAATACTTAAACCTGAATGTCATAGGTCAGTCACCTAAAAATGGCCTCTTAATACCGTTACATGGTAAACATGAGATATGAGGCTGCTGATGGCATCACACAGCAAACTATGTTACACTGACCTTTGTATAAGTAGTTGTACTCCACAGGGCATAGTGGCACATGTGTGTAATCCCAGCACTTAGGAGGTTGAAGAAGGAGGATCACTGTAAGTTCAAGGCCAGCCTAGGCTATATAGTGAGCTGGGCTGGACTTGAACTACATAGCAAGACTCTATCTCAAAAAATAAAAGTAGGAATACTTTAAAATAACAATGAAAAGTACAGTAAATGCACAAGCCAGTAACAGTTGTTCTCATATCAAATATTATGTACTGTACATAGTTGTTTGCTATATACTTTTACACAACTAGCAGCACAACAGGTTTACACTATGATATTATGATTACTATAACGTCAATAGGTAATAGGAATTTTTCAGCTCCATTATACTCTTATAGGACCACAGCCATATATGTGGCCTGTTATTGACTGGAATATCATAATGCAGTGCATGGCTGGAACTATTTTATAGCCTCTTTTCCCCAAATATAAAACCAGAAGTTCTTACAGCATAAGTATCAGGAGAATGGGCTTCTAAGGTCTCCACACTGTCACTTAATAAGCTGTATGACCTTAAGCATAATATTCAAACTCTCTGAGTCTCAATGTCTTCATTTGTAATAAAGAAAAGTAACAGTAGATGGCTCATATTATAAAAGGAAAAATGAAGCCCAGAGAGGGACAGCCAGTTGCCCAAGATAGCACAGTCCAGAAAAGACTAAGCCAAGCATAGAACTGATGCCAGCCCCACCCAGGGACTGAGGAGGAAAACCAGGACGGGGTAGCGTCCAACATTCCAGGAGGAGAGTGATGGAGGGAGAAGCCATTAATTGCCTCTGGCTTCACAGAGCTGTCTGGAAGATTCAGTGGGTGGAGAGTAAGGGAAGGGTGAATGCTCAGTCAAGTATATTGTTCGGTAAAGTTGCTTGGCAGGAAGAGGGAAAGGGAAAGAGGACTGGAGCCCCAGCTTTGGGCTTTAGTTTCCTTCCCCATATAAGGAGGATGGGATCAAATAGCCAAGAGTGGCCTGGATGAGTCCTGGGCTAAAAACATTTCTCTGGGTGCAGAGATTTAAAAAATATGAATCAGCTGCTGGCACCATCTCATACAAAGGTCTTGATTTCCAGCTTCTTTTTAACTTAAGGAGTGTGAGGCATACAGGGCCAGCATTCCTACCTGGTACCCATACTTGTCCTCTAGTGCTGATGATGGGCTGCTTTATCAGGAGGGCCCCATCTGTGAGTCCCCACCCAGCCCAGCTCCCTCAGACATTTAGCCACCTCACCCCTGCAACAGACGGCCTACATTTCCCCTTTGTTCTAACGTGGTGGTTTCAAAGTCCTTAGGGTTATAAAAAGTCATTTCATTCCGCTTTCAACTTCAAATACAGTCATGTGTCACGTAATGACATTTCACTCAAGAATGGACCACATATACCATGGTGTTCTCATGATGCAGCTGAAAAACTCCTTGTCATGCCTGGCCTAAACAAACAGGACAAAGCAAACAGGCTGCTTTCAGCAAACAACAGCAGCTTCTCAGTAAATAGGACAAATGGACTCAAAATGAAATATACAATCTCCCCCCATACCGAAAAGTCCACTGATTGTCTACATGCCTGTGCAGACTGTCCTTGGATTCAATCATAAGCATTTCACCCCAGATTTCTTAGCCCCTTCGATACCTATGTAGGCCTAATTCCTTTCACAGTTAGCTGTTTATATTTCTCTCCTGGTGTTAGCCCATCCACTCACAAATGATCTCTCCCAGCTAGCTGTTGTTACTTCTTTTTCTCATTGTCAGCCCATCCGCACACAGATATAATAAACTCAGCTTTTCCCAGCTAGCAGCTAGAATCTCCCTGATTTTAGTCCCTGATTTTTAGTTCCTGTTCGCTGGAATAAACTTTCCTTTTTTCCTCACAACAAAAAGCCTATTTTGACAAGTGGATTCATGTGTGCCATCTATAACATCCTCTATTGCCTAGTGACATGGTAGCTAGCTGTCACAGCATCATCACACAATGTATTACTCAAGAGTTTATGATGCGGCTGATGTAACCACATCGTATAAACTATAACATATAAAACTGTGACTATGGGCTGGGGATTTAGCTCAGTGGTTCTGCCGCCTGCCTCGAAAGCACAAGGTCCCGAGTTCAATCCCCACTACCAAAAACAAAAAACTGTGAGCAGTTCATAAACCTGGTATGTTAAGCGACCATGTTACCGTTTTGTATATTTACTATACTATACTTTTTACTGTTATTACAGAGTACTCTTCTACTTGCTAAAAAAAGTTTATTGTAAAATAGTTGACTGTGTTTCACCAGCACCAGCCTCATACATCTCATGGTTATTGCATCTCTTGATTGCATCAAAAGACCTGGTGTAGTGGCACACACCTGTATTCCCCAGCTACTGGAGAAGCTAAGGCAGGAGAATGGAAAGTTTTTTTGAGGGGGATTTCCCTTGGTTTTTTTTGAAACAGGGTCTTGCTATATAGTTCAGGCTGGCCTTGAGCTCAACATAATCCTCTTGCCTCAGCCTCCTGAGTGCTGGGATTACAGGTGTGCACCACACATCTGGCTACAACTTCAAGTTGAGCCCAGCCTAGGCAACTTAGTGATTTAGTGAGACCCTGTCTAAACATAAAATAAAAAAGGGTCGTGCTCACTTCAGCAACACACACACTAAAACTGGAATGATATAGAGAAGATTGGCATGGCCCAGCGCAAAGATGACACGCAAATTTGTAAAGCGTTCTATATTTAAAAAAAAAAAAAAAGGGCTGAGGTTGTAGCTCAAGGCAAAGGTTCTGGATTCAATCCCCAGTATCACACACACACACACACACACACACACACACACACACACATGATCACATGGAATAATTGGCCTAATCTGTCTACATTTGTTTAACTACCTTCTAGAATGTTGACAAATGTTGAAATTTCCTACTGATATTTCTTTTTTTTTCTTTTTGGTACCAGGGATCGAACTCTGGTCCTTGCACTTGCCCAAAGTATTCCTTCACACAGGTCTTTTTATTTGTTTTTGTTTTTGTTTTTTTTGGTACTGGGGATCTAACTTGGGGCCTTGCGCTTGCGGGGCAGGCGGCGGAACCACTGAGCTAAATCTCCAGCCCTCCTACTGGTATTTCTTAGAAAGAATGTATCCCCAGGCCAGGGATTTAGCTCAGTGGTTCCACCGTCTTCCTTGCAAGCGGGAAGTCCCGAGTTTGATCCTCGGTACCAAAAATACCAAAAACAAACATGAAAGTTTTGTAATAAATAAATTCTGGTTTATTCATACAATAGAGAAATTAAGAAAGAATGAATTGGGGGCGCTGGGTGTTCAGTGATAGAACAATTGCCAAGCATGTGCAAGGCCTGGATTCAATCCCTAGAACAGTACTGCAAATTAATCAATAAACCAAACAGTCTACTCGTCAGGTGTCCCTGGTCTGCAAGGGATATTAAAATGAATTAGACAGCTGGGCATAGCGCCACACACCCATGATCTTAGCACTCTTGAGGCTAAGTCAAGAGGATTGCCTCAAATTCAAGGCCAGCCTTGGTCTCAGCTTGAACTACATAGTGAGAATTTGTCTCAAAAAAAAAACTTCAAATTTTTTTAATTTTTAAAAATGATTTAGATCGGGGCTGGGGATTTAGCTCAGTGGTTTCTCCGCCTGCTACGCAAGCGCAAAGACCCGAGTTCAATCCCTGGTACCAAAAAAAAAAAAATGATTTAGATCTATCCATAGCAATAGGGGAAAATCTAAAATGCATCATGCTGAGTAAAAACTTCAAGTTGCATAACAATGTAAGTTAGAGACCATTTGTATAAATTTTGCTCTTGTTTCTTTTTTGTCTTTTTTTGAATAAAATGTTTAAATATTCAAATTTTTATTTTGCTTATGGCTACACATGAATATAATAACTTATAAAATCATGAACTGGAACAACTTGCATTAGATCCCAGATGGAGGTGGCCTATGAGGAAGAAGTGAAGAGAGAAAAAGGTCTTTTCACTTCTGTTCTCTGTTTCTTTTTATACAAAAAAAAAGTTATATGAGTCAGAACAAAACCCACTATGCAGAATTAGCCAGACACCTTGAAATCTGAATAGCTCTACCACTGATTAGGATATGAACAGTTATAAAAGACCACTGCATCCACTTTAACAAGGATCCTGGAAAGAAAAAAATCATCTTATTTTTCTCTAAAGTCATCAGAGAGTTATAGAACTTTTAAGAAAGGAAAACAAAAGACCCACCACCACCCCCCAAAAAAGTCTAAACTGTGCTGTCCAATATGGTAGCCACTAGCCACAAGTAGCTACTGAGCTCTTGAAATGTTGCTGGTTCAGAGATGTGTAGTATGTATAAAATACATACCAGATTTTGAGGCGTTAGTACAACAAAAAAGAGTGGTTTTTTTTCTATTGATTACATGTTGAAATGATAATTTCTTATTTTTAACTATGGTAAAATACAACATTAAAAAAATTTTTTTTTTCGGTACCGGGGATTGAACTCAGGACCTTGCACTTGCCAGGCAGGCATAGCACCACTGAGCTAAATGCTTGGCCCTTATTTTTGCTTTTGAGATGGGTCTCACTGTGGACTCCAGCCTGGCCTTGAACTCACATGTAGCCCAAGCTGGCCTTAAATTCATGGCAATCCTGCTGCCTCAGCTTCCCAAGTGATGAGATAACAGGCATGCACCCCTATGCCAGGCATCTATAGTTTGGATCTTTTTTTTTTTATAGTTTGGATCTTAAATGTCCTCCAAAAGCCTTTGTGTTAAAAGCTTGGTTCCCAGTGTAGTGCTATTGAGAGGTGGTTGAGCCTTTAGAAGGTAGATACTAGTTGGAGGCCTTTAGGTCATTGGGGTGGAAGTTGCCCTTGAAGAGGATTGTTGGACCCCAGTCTCTCACTTTCCTTTTTGCTTCCTGGCCATGATGTGAGCATTTTTGCTCTGCAAAACACTCTCACCATGATGTCCTGCCTCACCACAGGCCCAAAGCAATGCTCACAAAAGATCAAGGACTGGAATCTTCAAAACTGTGAGCCAAAATAACTCTCTCTCTCTGTTTTTGTTTTTGTTTTTGTTTTTGTTTTTGAGACAGGGTCTCACTATGTATTTCAGGCTGACTTCAAACTCACATGTACCACCATACCCAACAGTCTTTTCATTTTTTATAAGTTGATTAACTCAGGTATTTTGTTATAGTGACAGAAAGCTGACAAGCACAGGAATCTTGAAAGACAACTCTTCTTGAATACTGCAATCTTGAGAAAGTTCTTGCCATAAATTTTATTACGAAGCCACATGTAGGGATGTCTTGTGAGAAGTCCAGTTATGGGCGCGTATGTATGAAGGCTCTTTTTTCATGGCCTTCTTTAGCTCTATTTTGTTAGAGTTTGACAAAAGTGACTCCATAAGTGCCAGTTGGTACTGGCAACTTTCACAGTGTGTATTTCAGAGTGCACAGTTTAGTATACATAGTTAAAGTACATTCACATTGTTCTGCAACCATCACTAGCATCCTTCCAGAACTCTTCTCATCTTGTAAAACTGAAACTTTATACCTATTAAACAGTAACTTCTTACTGACCCTTTTCCATAGTCAAAAATGCACTTCATATAGCTAACCTACTAAACATCACACCTCCACAACAGAGTGCACTAGAGATATGGCTTGCTGCCACTGCCCAGGACAGGGAGAGAGGATCATATGACATTTTACTAACCATGGAAAAGATCAAAATTCAAAATATGGCTTCTACTGAATATGCATTGTTTTCACACCATCATAAAATTGAAAAAGTATAAGTTCAATATTCATTAAGTAAGGGATCATCTATATTTGAAACCAGAGATGTACTAAAACTCAAACTACAACCCAGCCCACCTTTTGATTAACTGGAAGGGATTAGCTTCATACCCTGGCTGCCTGATGGAGGAGTATTCAAGCCTTTTCTGGGGGTATTTATTATATACTTTGGTCTCTTATATATAATATCTGGCATACAAAAATAACTTATGAAAGGCTGGGGATTTAGCTCAGGGGTGCCATGCCTGCCTGGCAAGCACAAGGTCCTGAGTTTGACAACCACCACCCCATACTGCAAAAAAAAAAACAACTTATGAAACACATAAAGAAGTAAGAAAATGCAAGTGGTAATCAAGAAGGGAAAAAAAACAGTAAGTAGAAACAGACCCACAGAGAGCTCAAGTATTGAAATTGGCTGACAAAGACCGTTAAGTAACAATGATAAATATGTTTAAATTTTTCCAAAAGATGAACAGGTGAACAAAGATGAATTTGCAACAGAGAAATGGAAATATTCCAAATGTAACAAATGAAATTTTTAGAAATAAAAAGTACCTATCTGAAACAAAGAATGTATTAGATGGGCTTAACAGCAATACAAGGACAACAGAATCATCAGTAAAGTTAAAGATAGGACAGTAGGAAAGATCCAAAATGAAAAGAATTCAATGTTGTCTAAGCCCCTTGGGGGTGATCTCCTTATCATTCCCCCTCCCCAGTGTGCCTTTCCAGCCTCACCTTGTGCCAGAGGGCCCGGAGGCAGTTTCTCCTCAGGGCGGTGTGCTGCCATGCCAGGTACTCATCCACACGGGCACGCGCCTGCAGGTCCTGAGGGTACCAGTAGTCAGGAACCTTATACTTGCGCGTCAGGTAGAGTAGGATGGCCACACTGTGGAAGGGTGGAGCATAATGGGTGGGAGAGGGCACTGTACTATTGACTTTATACCCACTACCTTCCTTGATCTTTCTGACAATCTGCCAAGGTATGAGCCTCATTTTCCAGACAAGAAAAGCAGATTTAGAAGTGAAGGAAGCCAGCATGGTGGCACATGCCTGTAATCCCACCACTCAGGAGGCTGAGACAGGAGGATCACTGGGAATTTGAGTCCAGCCTGGGCTACATAGTGAATTCAAGGCCAGCCTGAACTACACAGAGAGACCCTGTCTCAAAATAGAAAGAAAAAAATCCTCAACAAAGTGTCCCATCTAATCAGAGATGATTTCTGATCAGAGAACCAAAGAGAGCTTCCTGGAAGAGGTGGCATCTAAGCTAAGCCTTGCAGAGGCTCAGTTCTTTCCAACCTGCATCCACTCTCATCCTTTAGCATCCAGACCAGCCTCAGATGGCCTGATTGTTCAGAAAGGCCTTCTCATAATAGCTTTGTCCTTCATGTCACACTTTCTGCTAAGAATCAGCTCTGTTCAAAGCAATGAGATGATCAGCCCTCTGGAAACTTTATGCAGAAAACACGCAGCATAGGAAGGATCTTGGAATATCTGAGCAGACAAGACTCCCTGGTGTTGTCTCCCTGCCCTGGGTTATGAGGCTAACATGGTGTAGGGTTCGTGATGGACCTTCAAAGACACAAGGTTGTATCAGTCAGGGCCATAGGAAAGCTTTCAGGAAATTGGGGTTTCCCAAGGGTTGGCTGCCCCAGCCAAAAGGGCAGAAAACCTCTGTTTCTACCACCAGTCCTGGTCCCTTATTAAGAAGCCTGCACCCACACCCCAGCTTAATGCCCCAGTTGTTCATCTTGTTCCTTGCTCAAGCCACCTCTGAGGAGGACTGCAAGACCCCATGAGCCACAGACCTTGTGAGGGTGACAGAAGAGAAATGCAGAGGTTGCACACTCCCCCTGGGCTGGTACCTGTGGGGTCTCAACATGGGCCAGACACAGGACTCAGGACACCAGGAGGCACCGGGAAGGAAGAGTGGTATATGTCAGAATGTCACAGAAATTCATTGGGATGCATCCATCTCTGGATTTCAGAGATGAACTCTAGAGATAAACTCTAGGTTCTCCTTGCTAGGGAAGGATGAGTCAGCTGACAAAAGAGGCAGAACTGGAAAAAGGCTTGGCCCTCCAAGAAGAGGGAGGTTTTCACTTCTTGAGATCTGCTGTGATATGAAACATCTATGTGTCTGGTGCCTCTCTCACAGGGGAGATCCACCTAGGAAAGCTGCCCCAGGGATGGGGACCCTAGACAGCCCAGATGCCACTGGGCCACCTCTATACAACCTGGGCCAGAGGGCTGCCTCCATGGTGGCTGAAGCTGCCACCCTTCCCTGCCCTGCTCCCTGACCCCACACTCTTGGCCAGGGACGCTCAACAACCAGAGGACAAGAACAGGGCTAAGGTAGGTGCCTGGTTTTCCAGCCATCCCAGGGAACTGGAACCAGTGGACAGGTTGAGGTCAGCCCCAGCTCTCTGTAGGATGTGGACAAAGGTGCCTTTCGCCAACTGAGGACTTTAGTTTCCTGGTCTGTAACACAGAGGGCTGGCTCAGGGTGGTTCCAGCAAGGCATGGCAGCAGCCCCAGGGGGCCCTGTTACCTCTCAGTCAAGGTGAAGTCCCCATCTTTCAAGGCTGGCACCTTCTTCAGGGGGTTCACCTGGACGAAAGCATCACTGAGGTGCTGGCCTGTGGAAAGCCCAGCATAAGAGGGGTGGGACTAGATCCCTGAGCCTTCCAGGTGGCCTGGGCCCATTCCCTGCAATTCCCAGGCCCAAGTTTCTTGGCTCTTCTCCCCTCTGGGATGCTCTCCTGAATGGAAAAGGCTGGTGGCAGCTGCTGGGGGAAGTGGGGATGGCTGCTCTGGCAGCTGGTACAAAATGGACTGGATACCCTTTGACAAGTCTTCATGGGCACAACCTCCCCCAAAGACTGCTTCCCTGCCACCCAGCCCGATGCACAGGGCACAGTGCCTGGGCCTGCATACACCCACCACCTCCCCTTTCCACCACTGCCAGCTTCATGAACTCACATCTGGAGTGTCCTAACCTACAAGGGGAGGTCATCTGGGTGGAGTTCTGACTTCCTACAGCACCCCTCCCTCTATGGCCTTCAAGGCAGGATGAACAAACACAGAGAAGTAGCTTTTTCCTGATTCTATTTACTTGTCACCAATTTCTACTGGCCTCTGTGTCCCCTTGCTCTCTCTGCCCTGAGGGCTACAGAGCTTGCCCTGCTTTCAGGCTCTGGCACCCACCCACAGCCCCTGAAAGGCACAGTCCAGTGTTCCCTGAGCCAGACCTCTGTATCAGCCTGTCTGAATGGTTTCTGTCCCTCCAGATGCAGCCAGACAAGCTTTTTGGGAAGCTTAAGTGTCAGTGATACTCTGCTCTACAGCCCTCAGTGGCTCCCCACTACTCCTGGAGCAAGTGGATGCTCCTCAAATCATGCACAATCCCCTTTTCCCTCCAGTCCCAAGAATACCCTCTGTTTACGGTCCTGTCCTAGTGAAATGCACATCTCTCTGCATCCTTGTATTTGACAGCCAACTCAGAGATCCCCTCATCCCTCACACCATCTGTCCTGACCCATACTCCGAAGAGGGGGCCCCCATGCTCAGCAAGCAGATGGTCCACAGAGGAGGCTGGGAGGGGGTGAAGTTTCAGGCAGGGGAATCATCCTGCAAAGGTCAAAGTGTTGGTGCAAGCACTGCATGGAAGGTATAGCCACCCAGCGTGGACCCTGAGCATGTGCATTCTGCTGCCCTCCCCTCCTATCACTCCACCCCCACCGGGCCTGAACCTTGGGCTGTCAACTGCATCCCTGAGCTCCTCAGTGATCTGCCAGAGAAACAAACATCCCGCTCAGCGTGCTGGGTTCACCATGGGGTGGGGAAGAGGGGGGGTGATCCTAGCAGGAAAGAGACAGGACAAGGTAAGAGAGGCAAAACAAGAGGAACAAGCTGGGCGTGGTGGTACATGCCTGTAATCTCAGCACTCTGGGAGACTGAGGCAGGAGAATCAAAAATTTGATCCCAGCCAGGGCAATTTAGTGAGACCATGTCTCCGAATTAAGAAATTTTAAAAAGGGCTGAGAAGCTGGGTGTGGTGGCACATCTCGTGCCTGTAATCTCAGCACTCGGAGGCTGAGACAAGAGGGTCACCACAAGTTCGAGCCCAGCCTGGGCTACTTAGTGAGTTCAAAGCCAGTGTGAACTACATAATAAGACCCTGTTTCAAGGGGGGGGGGGTGTAAAGGACCTAAGTTCAATTCCCTGTACCAATAAATAAATACAGACAGCAGAGGGCACAGGTAGAAAGGCAGGTCCCCAGTGCAATGCCCCCTCTTTATGCTGCTGCCAGCCACAGCACTGAGGACCACAAAGGAGGGTCCTGATTCTGTCCCAGCCTCCACACTCGGTCCCCAACCCCTCTCCTCCAGACTCCATCTTTCTAGAGGCCTCTGTCCCGGGATCCCAGATCACATCCATTTCTGTTCGCCAAGTCTCCTCTCCTCCTGCTGCTTGGCCAGTCACTTGGCTTCAGCGGAGCCCCTAGTGTTTATTCCGTGGGACTGCAGAGTTTGGAGACTGCCCAGGCTTGGATCTCCCTGGTGGCTCACGTTTTCCCCAGTCTCCAAACCAGACCAGCGATGGCCCCTGGAAGGGGCGGTGTGAGAAGGAGCCACGAAACTGTTGGCAGCCCCTCCGCCCCTCCGCCCCTCCGCCCCTCCCCGCCTCCTCTCAGATCCCCAAACCCGAGGCCCGGCCCACCCTTGAGCAGATCCACGGTTCTCAGCTGGAAGGGGATGCCGTTCTTCTTGGCGAAGATGTAGATGGCTCGGCAGGGCTGGGACAGCAGGTCCAGGTAGAGCTCCAGGCCCATGGCGGAGACCGCGGGACCAGATTCGCAACCTGGGGCACACAGCAAAAACTCTGGCGCAGGGTCTCTAGTCTGAGCCGCGCGGTCAGGCCTGGCGCGGCCACGCCCCAGACACCGCCCCCTGGACACTTTGCCCCAATTGCTGAAGGCCGGAGGGCGTGTCCGAGGGGCTGGACCCTTAGGGTCTGAGCCAGAGCAGAGAGTGATTAGGAGTGGAGACTGTCACTGGAGCTGGACGGAGAGAGGTACAAAGGCGCCCCAGTCTCAGTCTTCTTGTGATTTCCTTATTTGACTTTGCGTAATACCTTCGAGGGGGAGACTCCTGGCATATATCAGAATTGTCTATACCCCCCACTTCACAGATGAGGAAACTGAGGAACTGTGTGATAATAGACCCAGAAAGTCTGACTCCAGAGTCCGTCCTCATAGATCAACATTCAGAGATCTTGCTGCCAGCCAAGTGGCAAAACTTCTGGGCTTGTATTGAGCATTTTGTGATCATTCGCATCGCTCACTTTATACGCTCTGTAATTTAACAGCTATGGTCATTCAGCTCCTGCCAGCACAGCGCCCTCAACCACATTCCCTGGTTGTCATAGTTCCTTTTGGACTGCTATAACAAAATGCCTTAGACTGAGCAATATGTAAACGGTAGAAGTTTATTGCTTGGTCTTGGAGGCTGAGAAATCCAAGATCGAGGTTCCAGAAGGTTGCTTGTCTGGTGAAGGCTTGCTGCCCTCTGCCTCAAAGATAAACCTCCTTGCTGGGTCCGTACATGGCCAGAAGGGAAAGAAAGTTCCTTTCAACCTTTTTCAACTTTTTTTTAAAGATATTGGGGATTGAACCCAGTTTACTGAGCTACATCCCCAGCCTTTTTTTTTTAATCTCTTATTTTGAGGCAAGGTCTTGCTAAGTCCGGAAGTTGCCCAGGCTGGACTCAAACTTGCAGTTTTCCTCCCTCAGTCTCCCAGAATGCTGGGATTATAGATGTGCACCACCACACCCAGCTTCAACCTGTTTTATGAGAGCAGTAGTTCCATTCATGAAAGGAGAGCCCTCATGACTTAGTCATTTCCCAGAAACCCCTCTAATACGAGATTCCAAAATAACGGACAGCAATATTCAGTCCATCACACTGAATCTGTTTTTTCCTTCTCTTCACTTCAGTTTCTCCACCTTTAGAATAATGGGGAGAGTAGAGGCCTCCCAAGCCCTGGCAACTCCAGATCTTGGGTTCACCTGCTGAGCCTCAAATGCTGGGTTTCCCTTTGCCACCCAGGGACCCCCAGGCCTTGCCACCCAGATGATTAAATGAAGAAGGCAGCAGAACCACTGAGCTAAACCCCTGGCCCTAAGATGATTAAATGATATCACTGCCACATGTTAATTTCTGAAACAAATTAACTAAAAACACATTGCCAGAGCATAACATTTTCTACACAGTAAGAGACATTTCAGCAAAGAAAGTGAGGGTTGGCAATGGTGATTTTGGGGGAGGGATGCTGGAGGGCACATGCATGGCCAGTGCTCTACCACTGAGTTAAACCCCATGTTCCCTTTTTTGAGATAGAGCTTTTTTTTTTTTTTTTGGTACCAGGGATTGAACTCAGGACCTTGCACTTTCGAGGCAGATGGCAGCACCACTGAGCTAAATCCCTGGCCCAATGTAGAGCTTTTTTGAGACCTGGACTATGTCACTCAGACTGGCCTTGCACTTTGGATGCTCCTGCCTCAGCCTCCCATGTAGCTGGGCTTATAGGCATGCATCATTACCTCCATCTATGGTAACGATATTTAAGTGAAAAACAGTCTAAGGAAAGATGAGAAATTCAGACTTCCTTGTTGAAGTTTTTTTGTTTTTTGTTTTTGGCACCAGGGATTGAACCCACAACCTTGCACTTGCAAGGCAGATGCAGTATCACTGAGCTAAATGCCCGGCCTCCTTGTTGAAGCTTTAAAAGGTACTAGACACTTGGAGGAGGCAAGAGTTTTCTTATCCTCACATCTCAGTGACTCAGTGACTCACCAGCCAGTGTCCCAGAGGGGAGCTGTCAGGATCCTGGTCCAAGGGTGAGCCAGTCTTACAAGTTTAAAACCGAATTTGGTGCAAAATCAGTATCAGCCATGTTCTTTGGGATATGTCTTAGTTACTTTTTTTGCTGAGGCAAAAATATCCAACACCCAAAGTTAAAGGAGGAAAGGTTTATTCCAGCTCATAGTTTGTAGAAGTGTCAGTCCATAGTCGGTTGGCTCCAAGGCAGGGTAGCATGGCAGAGGAGCATCAGAGAAGAAACAGTCCATGGCAAAGCAGGACAGGCAAAAGGCAGCAAGCAGCAGCAGCAGCCACTGCCTGCCTTCTCCCTCTCCCTTTATATTGCACCCAAGCTATAAACAACTGGTGCCAGCCACACAGAGGGTGGTTCACCCTTAATCCCAGCATCACACTCTTAATGCCAGTATCACTCTTAATCCACATTCACATATCCTAATCCAGCTGCCTTTGAAATTTCTCACCTATGATTGGATGAAGCTTTGGAGGGACAGCTAGATATAAGCCATAACAAGATAGCCTTGATGGCTTAGAAGAAGTGACCATTTTTGTGGCAAGGACCTGAGGGGGGTGGTCTCCAGACAACATCAAGCTGGGACTTTCAGTTCTACAACCACAAGGAAATGAATTCTGTCAAAATTCCAAGTGAGCTTGGGAGGGGAGCCTTCCTCAGTCGAACTTCAAATGATGGGAAAGGCAAGGCAGCTTCTTCCAACCTCATGAATTTGGGGGGAGGTTGAACACCAGTATGAGTTTGAAGACTGAGAACTCAACCCTGGCTGATTGTGTTGATTGTAGCTGGAAGACTGAGGCAGGAAGATCACAAGTTCCAGCCCAGCCTGGGCAACTTCTCAAAAAAAGGTGTGGGTGGCAGTGCATGGTGGCACACACCTGTAGTCCTAGCACTCAGGAGACTGAGGCAGAAGGATTTCCACAAGTTTGAGGTTAGCCTCAGCTACATAGTGAGTTTGAGGCCAGCCTGAACCACATAGCAAGACCCTGTCTCAAAAAAAGGGTGGTGGTGGGGATATAACTCAGTGTGAAAGCCCTGTGTTTAACCCCCAGTATGGGGGGGGGGGAAGGAAAGGAAAGGAAAGAAGGAAAGGAAAGGAAAGGAAAGGAAAAGGAAAGGAAAAAGAAAGGAAAAAGAAAAGCCAAGTCAGAGCCCTGTCCCAGCCAGTGTCTCTGGCTTTTCCATGTGATCTTTCCCATTCCCACAAGTTCTGCCCTTTTGTCATCTACGCCTTCTTTCTTCTTCCTCTCTTCTCTTTCTTCTTTTCCTATCTTTGGGGATTGGACTTAGGGCCTTGCACATGCTAGTCAATTGCTCTGCCACTGAGCTACATCCCCATCCCAATTTCCTTTCCTTTCTTCTTAAGATACTGGGCTTAGTTTGCTCTTATTTTTCTAGTTCCATAAGTTATAACATTAGATTTTTAATTTGAGATCATTCTTTTTCAATGTGTGTATTTACAGCTATAAATTTTCTTGTTGGTGCTGCTTCTATTGCATCCCACACATTTTGGTATGTTGTATTTTCATTTGTTAAGATACTTTCTAATTTTCCTTGTGATTTCTTTGACACATTTGTTGTTTACATGTCTGTTATTTAATCTCTACCTATGAATTGTCTGGTTTTCCTTCTGATATTAATTTCTAATCTCGTTCTACTGTGTTCAGAGACAATACTTTGCATGATTTCAATCTCCTTAAATTTGATATTTATTTTATGGACAAATATGTAGCCTGTGCTGAAGAATATTCCACATACACTTGAGAAAAATGTTTATTCTGCTATTGCTGTGGGGAATGTTCTATTAGGTCCAATTGGTTTATAATGTTGTTCCTTGATGTATTTCTATCAAGTTATTCTGTTACACCCCCCGCCCAATACCGGGGATCAAACTCAGGACCTTGCAATTATGAGGCAGGCGTATCCCCGGCCCCAAATTCTGTTATTGAAAGGGGGTGTTGAAGCCATCAGCTATTGTTGACAATGTCATATTTATCCTTTAAGTTTTGCATTATTTATGAAAAATGAGAGGACCTGTGACCTCCTACATCAGACTCTGCTTATACCAACTGTCCCCAAATCAGCAACCATGATGGTTGTTCCAGTTCTTTATTAGATAAAAGAACAAAATTGTTTTTTAGTGTCTCCCCCAAGGAAGGCGGCTCAGAGGGCTGAGTCAGTTGGGCTCTGGAGGATGCGCTGCCTCTGGGTCACTTGTAAGTCTCCAGAAATTTGCAGATCCTCTCCTTGACCACTGGATCCAATGTCGAGACATCCCACTCTGCTAACTTCACCAACCGGTCATGGGCCTCCCAGAAGAGGCCAGAGCCGATGTACAGCTCCACCCGCATGCGCCACTCCACCAGCTTGGAGCTGCTGAGGAAGACATTATGATCGCCCCCCATGGGCTGTAGACAGACAAAAAGGAAAATGTGGTCAGGCTGGGGATGTGCCCCCTTGGGTCTTCTTTTGCAGTCTCAAGGGCCTTCCTCATCAAAGACTTAGTCATTCAAGGCCTAGGCTAGGGGTCACAAGCTATGTAATAGATGTGAAATTAGAATGGAAGACCCATAATTCCCTGGGTTCTTTGGTCATTGGTCTTGCTGCAAAGTTTCTGAATCCCTTTCTGAGGTGACCCCTTGCTGAGGAAGTTTCCACTTCTCTAGCCTGCAACCTGCCACGGGTCATGCTTTTCTGAGGGAAACTCTCATCTCCAAGGATGGGGAGGGGACCTCAGCTCCTTTCCTCCTACACTGAACTTCCCTCTGTAATCAGGCACAGAGGCTGAAAGAGGAGATGCGACAGTTTGGTTGGCTTATTAAGAAATATGCATTCAAGGTGTTAGAGGACTCAGAAGGGGTACAGGGGGATAAAGTATAAAGGGTGTAGGCCAGAATGGTTTTTCCTGGTACATAGCACTGAGCATTGAACAGGGACAAAAATGACCATTTTGCCTACTAACCAGGGAGTGTGCTGGCCTCTCAAGAGTGGAACTATTGGAGGTGGTGACATCTTTGGAAGGAAGGCCCTAGTGGAAGGAAATTAGGTCATTGGGGTATTCCCCTGAAGGGGATTATGGGCACTGGGCTCTTTCTCTTTTTTACTCTTTTGCTTCCTGGCTATGAAGTGAGCAGTTTGCTCCACTCCTGTTTCTTGCCATTGCTATCTAGCAGCCCCATCAGAGGCTTGAAATCAATGAGCCCACCCAGTCATGGACCAGAACCTCTAAAATTGTGAACCAAAATAGACCTTTGCTCTGTATGCGTGAACTACCTCAGGTATTTTGTTATAGTGGATGAAATCTAACACACTGGAGGAGCTGGGGGGCACTGGGGACAACACCACAGGGGCATCAGAGGTAGACAGCCAGAGTGTGCCATGAAAAAAGCCCAGACGCATCCAGGCCTAGATTAAGACTGAGTAGCCAGACTGTGCACCTGGAGACTGAGGAAGGTAACTAGACACCTGAGGGGAGGCCTGAGTGCTGCCGTGTGCTGTGTAATCTTGGAAGATGTTCTGTCTTCTGAGGTTTCAGCTCAGAAACGGAAGCACTTCCACTTCCAGAGACAGGGTGAGGCTGGGGACAAGTGGACAGCACAGAGAATGTTTATTACGGACAGCTGTGTCCAGGGGAGCAGGCAGGCTGTGCTCCCTCAGTGGAGAAACTCCTGCAGCTGCACCAGCTTCTGGGTCAGCTGAGGGTCCTGCTGAGCCTCATGGGTTTCCCAAGGCTGGAGTATGAGCTTGGCATCCTCCATATGGGCCCACTGCACTCCTGGATGAGTTTGGTCTTAGAAGTCACACACAATAGTAATGGGACTCAGCCCCTTAACCCACGTCTTAGAGGCTAAACTGGTGGGAAAGCGATGCATGCATAAGCTCCTTGAGTACCATCAAGCCCGCCAGAGAGTTTCTCAGTGGCCAAGGAGGCCCAGGCCAGCAAGATCACCTCATTCAGAGGCTGCAGGGCTGGTGTTAGCCTCCCCAACAGCCACTTCAGCTGTGCAGCAGCCACAGGCTTCCTTGAGAAAAAGGGGCCAAAGAGATTGGGCTGACGTAAAAGGAGCATCTCCTCCTGGACCCTTCCAAGCCTCCTCAGCCTCCTCATCTCCTCCTACTCCCATCAGCTAGTGATGCCCCTGGGGCTCTGTGCTCAAAAGACTCTGAGGATTCTTTCAAGCTCAGGGGAAAGAGTGTTGCAGTGCCTGCCCAGGCAAATGGAAGGGAGTTCTGAGGTCCTGGCTCCTGCCCCAGCCTGCACAATAGGCTGACAAGGGATTATCTTGCACAGGTAGACATTAATGGTAGGCAGCTGGATAGTTACGTGCTGTACTCATGGAAATAAGCACGGACAGGTGCCAGTTGCCACCCTCTGGTCTTTGTGGCTTAGATAGAAAAGGATAGCCACAGTGTGGGCAGAAGGTGTGAGGGGTCTTCTTAAGCCATCAGGCAGGGCTGAGTATCTTCTTTCTTCATACAGTGATTTGACCAAGTTTCTCCCGAACTCCATCTCCAGGGTAGGACCTCTCTACTACTGCACCCTCCTGATGCTGCATGTGATGTATCTGAGAAAGAAATTCCAAGTCCTGTGTACAGCAAGCAAAGAATTGCAAGTGTACAATCAATGGTAAAAGAAAAAGAAGCTACATTTTTTGAAGGTAACTTGAAGGTGTGCTCAGGTTCATATCAGCAGAAACAAGCTGGTATCATGAATGTGAAAAGGACTGCGGGGGAATAGGAAGAAGGAAAGATAAATCAGGGTTTCAGACTTAGAAGATGTGCATCCCAGCCCAGGTGACTCTCATTGGATCTCTCTAGATAAGATTGACAGAAATAATTGACATCTTAGGGGTACCTTAGTACACATGACTCTCTAAGAATCCACTCTGTTTTAATCACATGCATGACATGTGGCCCCTTTGGGTTAGGATTAACTAAAAGTAAAACAAAGATTAATCTTTATTTCGGGAAACTGTGGGTCAAACTTGAGTCCAGCTTCCAGGCCAGCCTCCTTGCCTCCAGGCTGGCCCCAGCCCAACACTCTGGGCCCTCTGACTTGTTTCTACACAGGCACCAGCAGGGATTTCTGAAGTTCCAATGTGATCACTTGCTCCCTCTTGCAATACCCTCCCATCTGGTTTGCTCAGCCCTGGGGTGTTTCCCCCCACATCCACCATGGTCACACTCCCAGGCTTTGTTTGCACCACCCAGCATTGTGGCCTGCCTGTGACCTCCTCTTGGACTGCTGTCCACTTATCCTTTGTTAGGAGCCAGGCCTTGTGATATCTAGGGCTGGGCTGTGGATAAGGACTTTGTGGACCTGGGGGACAGCCCATGGGGTGGGCAGAGCACTGTGCCCTGGCATGGGCACTGAAATATGCTGGTTGAGTCAGACATAGAGCAGGCAGCAAACTAGAGTTACCTTGGCCCTTTTAGACACTCAGCCAACGTCTTTCAGGAAGTTGGAGATCCCACTGTGGCCATACCTTACTGACCCATACGAGGGGCTATAATACTTCCCCACTCTTTTCACAAGAACTGAAGACTGCCCATGGACAGAACATTTGAGGGCATGCCCTTCCCTAACACACATTCACAGATTATGTGGCTTGAGTGGGACAGACACCACTCTGGTTCCAGGGACAGCACATGGCCCAGCCTGGCAAGTAAGGACCTTGCAGTCTTGGCCTCTATGACAGTGTCAAGCAAGGTCATTGTGAGCAAATCCTGGGGCCATGGCTGCTGATCCTGGGCATGAGGGACTGGAACATATGTACAAAGATGACCCCTGGCCAGGCCACTGGACTTCTCCAAGGAGAGGCTCTGGAGGCCACTGAAAGCATGACCAGCATAGGCCCTTCCCCACTGGAGAGGCAAAAACAGGGCCAGGCAGCCTCTAGGAGCCAGGTTGTCCCATAGCCAGCTGTTCTGGAGGCCAGGCCGGCAGCACCTAGAGGCAAGCAGGCCCAGCACGGCAAACTGTCCCTCAACAAGCCCTGGAGGGAAACTGGGCCCAGGTCTGCCATGCTCAGAGGTGCCAGTAGGCCTTGGTTTATTGCCTTTGAGTTTATTGCCCTAACAGCCACACCCTGTGCAAGCAGCTCCTCATCCAGATTTGCTATCAGGGATCTGGGGCCACAGGGCTGCAGTGAAAGGAAGGAATGAGAGAGAAAAGACAGAGAAACAGGATAACAAGATGGGAAAACTTAGAGAACTGAGAGGCATTTGTTCATTCAATCATTCATTCATTCAATAGAGTGAGACTCAGAGACACATAAAAAAATCAGTGGAGGGTGGGCCGGGGATTTAGCTCAGTGGTTTTGCTGCCTGCTGCGCAAGTGCTAGGACCCGAGTTCGATCCCCGGTACCAAGAAAAAAAACAAATCAGTGGAGGGAATGAACAAGGACAAGTGACTTTGCCTCCCAGCATCCCCACTCATATGCATGGACTTCCCCAGTGCCCCCCACCCACCCAATCTTCATACTTTCAGGAAACATTAGTGTAGCCCTTCCCTCTTCCTAGGGCACCAGTTGAAATTCAAGGTCACTTCCAGGGGTCTTTCCTACCTCTCCTCATGCCAGGTGACCTAGGGATCCTGCTACCCTGTTTAAGTTGGTACACAGCATGGGTAGTTCCATGGAGGGCATTTTCCAGGACTTACCTGTCACCTACACAGCACTGGGAGTCTAGTGTGGTGGTGCATACCTGTAATCCCAGCACTCAACAGGCTGAGGCAAAAGGATCACCACGAGTTCACGAGCCTGAACTACATAGCAAGACCCTGTCTCCAAAACACAAAACGAAACAGAACAAACCACTACTCCACCAGCTGATCTCATACCTGCATCATCTCCTCCAGTGACATGAGATCAGCCAGCGTCACCTGCTGGCCCATGAGGAAGGCCTTGTTCCCCAAGAACTTCTCTTCCGATGCTGCAGAGCCCAGGCCACACTGGTCTTATTTCATTCTATCTTCTCCTCAGGCACCTGGGTCCCCATGAGTGGTGTGATCATCTGGTGAGGACAAAGGATGAGTTCAATCTGTGACTCCAGCTTCCCTTAGATCCCGGAGAGTCAACTCTCCAGATGACTCTCCTTACCCAGGTCCACAGGGTCACACCAAAGGTGTCAAGGATGTTGTCAGCATGCCAGCCCAGGTACTCATGGATTCGGGCAGAGGCCTGCAGGTCAGGTGGGTACCAGTGGTCTGCCACCTGGCACTTATAACTCTGGTAAATCAGGATGGCTGAGCTGAGAACTGGAGTGGGAAGAGTGACTGGAAAGACCCTGGTTCCAGGCCTTTAACTCCCAGCAGCTCCCATCTCCCTGTGAGACAGACCTTGGGCTTCTCTGCATTTGATGGGCTGTCCTCTAGCCCCGGACCTCATCTCCAGCTCTGTGACTCTGCCCTCTCCCTTGACTACACACCCTTCTTTTTCATTTTGTTTTGGTGGTACTACAGATTGAACTCAGGGCCTCCTGCAAGCTATATTCTCTGCCCTCTTTGTTGTCCTGGCACTGACTCTTGGTCAGAACTTCACTTTGCCCTTTCAGAGTTTCATCTCTGTGAAACGCCAGGATCTGGCCTATGAGGTAGAAACTGTTTTTTTCTTTTTGAGACAGGGGACCACTAGGTAGTCTAGACTGGCTTGAACTCATTGTGTAGCCCAGGCTGGCCTTGAACTGGTGGCAATCCCCCTACCTCAGCCTCTCAAGTGTTGGAATTATAGGCATGCTTGTTAACCCTTTTGCATATGAGGAAACTAGAGCTCAGAAGAGTTAAGCGACTTGTCTGAGGCTGCTCAGCTCAGAAAAGGATCCCTGGAGCCCTAGAACCTTGCATGGGGCTGGCACGGGGGTGCTCCATGGAGTCCTTTGAATGTTCATGTACAGGGTTCAGGGATCAGGAAAGGAATCATGTCCTTGGATTTCTCACAGGTCCCCCAGTCATCACTTCTATAGCTACCTGACCTCTTTGTAGCAGACACCTCTGTCCAGTATTAGCAGGCTATAGTGGCACAATCTTCTTGCCCCTCCATATTCAGCTGTGTTACACTGGAAATAGTCCAATCAGCTAAGTTCACTTCCAGCCAAGGTCAACTCAGCTCCAGCTAAATTCTCTCCCTCTGAATTAACCGTTTGTTCTCTTCAGCAAAAATATGCTTGTGCCCTCATTCTACAGTCCTGCCTGATTGATACTCGTTATCAGCAGGTCTCCCAAGGCCTGCCCAGCTTCCTCCTTCCCACACTTGTAATGAATAAACACTAGATGTCCTGGGAGTTCTTTGTCTTTGCTGCCAGAGCAGCTTAGATCAGCCCAAGACTCAGTTTCTCTCAAGTCTCTGTCTCTGTGTTTCTTTTAATTCCCACTTTCCTATCTCGTGGATGTCGTACTGGCTTGCGGGAGGCCAGGACCACTGCAGAGGTCTCTGGCAAGTCCCATTACCCTTTCCCTACACCTCCTGTCCTCTTTCTGCCTAGCAGAAGTGAGGTAAGAGATTAGGGCTGGAGCTGGTCTATCACAGCTTAAATGGGCACCTGTATTCAGACACCTGCTTTTTTTTCCCCTTAAATTCTTTTATTGGTACATTTTAAGTATACAATACACATTCATCATTGGGCACTTGTACCTTTACATGATATATCTTGGGTCTTATTTTTTCCCCATTTCCTGTCCTCCCTTCACCCCCTCCACCCTTCCCTATTTACAAAGACTTTGTTTCCATTTTTTCCTTTTCTCATAATTTTTCCTTTTCCTTCTTTCCTTTCCCCTACCCCTCCCACTTCCCCTACCCCTTTGGACCTTTTCTTCCTATTTCACATTATCAGTTACCGAATATTTTCTCTGGTGTGAGAAACTTAAAGTGTAAATAATGATTACAATGAATAACAGACACCTGCTTTTAATTGGACTCATGATGTGGGTAAGCTTGCTAGGGCTGTCTCTTCAGGTTCTTGGTAGTTTACCTATATCCTCTTTGCCATGCTTTATTCCCTACAGGAAGCATAGAAATAAAATTCCTTAGACACTTTTTCCAAATAACAGCATGGAAAAATAAATGTTTCTAATTGCTGAATCTGTCATAGTTCCATCTTTTAAGACAGACCAGTAAATATTCTGACCTGCTCCTTCTCTCATTTGCCCTCTATTTCCTCAATCTAATAGTAAAGTTTATCTATGTCATGCCTGGCCTAAGTGAGACCTTCACAAACAAACAGGACAAAGCAAACAGGCCACTTTCAGCAAACAACAAGCTATTTCTCAGTAAACAGCACAGATTGCCCCAAGACAAAATACACAATCTCTCTGGTGCTGAGAGATCCAGTGATTGTCTATACACCTGCACTGACTGTCCTTGGACACTAGCCATAAATATTTCCTAGATCACAATGTCCTTTTCAATACCTATATAAGCCTAATTCCTTTCCCAGCTAGGTGCTAATATTTCCCTCTCAATGTTAGCCCATTCACACACAGATGTAACAGATTTGTCTTTTCCCAGTGAGCTGCTAAAATCCATCCCTGATTTTAATCTCTGTTCACTGGAATAAACTTTTCTTTTTCTTCACAAAGCCTGTCTCTGAGTGAGTGGTTTCATACATCCCCGTTTATAACAATCTATTCAAGGCTTCAAATGATGATCCAGACTACAGGCCATGACTCTCCTGACAAATTCACAGAGCTTTCTCCCATTGAACAGGCAGCTCAACAATTCTCAACATACAGGTACTCTTTTCTCACTGTCTTCTGACAGGTACTTATTACCCCAGCCAGTAAATCCCAATGGTAGTAAATCCCAAGGTAGTCAGAGAGCACATAATCCCCAATAGGTAGAGCCTATTTTCAGCGGCGATCAGGTATGTGAAGAAACAGACTTCCCTCCCTCAGTATCTCATAAAGAATTATAGGGATTATGTCTCTCAGGGGGAAATGAGGTAAGAGAATAGGCTGGGGGCAAAATCAGTCAAACTGGGAGTAATCTGTCAAAGTCATGGAGACCTAGGGCATATTCACACAACAGAGGATCTGGGATGACTCTGAAGTTCCTGAGCACTGTTTGCAGGACCAATTAGAAAAGTACTATTTTCAATCCTTAATTTACGTCTGGCACAAAACCAAGCAAGACTATAGGACAGTTTAAATCAGGCACGAGGCCAAGTGAGTTTTTGATAGAACAACAATCCCAAATGTCTTATTTGTATGAGGGATAAGCCAATCTAGGAATTCCAGATATATAAGATTCCCTCCATTATCTTCATGGCTTCTGTGAGTCTGTTCACCAGTCTGCTCTCAAACTGCAGAGTACACTTCTTTTCCAACTTTCATAAACATACATCCCTGCTACCCTTTCTGTGTGTCCTGCCTAATTATTTGTTCAGGACACTAAGCACCTGGAAAGAATTTCGCTGGGACCCAAAAGCCAGTAACAGGAGAACCCACCAGGAGCTGTGCCTTCAGGCCCTGGCGCAGGGCCACTTTGGGTAGTCGGGGGTCATCTGAGAATTCAGGAGAGGCCCTTTCCAACTTCCACTTGTTGAACCTACTCTCTGCACAACACCAGACAAATGTCCCTTGTTCTCTCTTCCATACCTCTCAGTTTTGGGGGGAGAGGCTCCAGGGGCCTGCAGAGGAGGCTAAGAATGAGAGATGGGCAGAGACACGAGTCCACCTAGACACCCCAGACTCACTACTGGGCTGCCTACTCTCCCCACCCCTTCATGTTCCCCTCACTGCCCCAGACTCTGAGAGGACCCACAACAGGGAAGGAAAGGAAGCCACGCGGGCTTAGGGCTTAGGAGGTGAGAAGGAAGGAAGGCACCTTTCGGTCAGGAGGAAGTCCCCGTCTTTGAGGACAGGCACCTTCTGCAGGCTGTTAACTTGGAAGAACTTCTTGTTCAAATGCTGTCCTGAGGAGGAAGAAGTCAGAAGAAAATGTGCACAGGGCATAAGCTGCACTTCTCTGACCTTCCCCTCCCCCTCCCTCCCTCTCCCATCAGAGCGCCACTCCAGGCCTGGAGCCAGGGATTCAAGGAAGGAACTCTCAAAGTCTAGTTATTTTTTCCCCATCCCGCAGAGTAAAAGGTACAATCATCATCATCCCTTGCAAAGTGGCATTCGAAAATTAAAAGAGGGCTGAACTTTTTTTTTTTTTTTTCGGTGCCAGGGAGCGAACTCAGGACCTTGCGCTTTCGAGGCAGGCGGTGGCACCACTGAGCTAAATCCCCAGAACCATAAATTTTATTTTTTTAAATTTTTTAATTTTTTTAATGTTTTGACTTTTTTTCCCTTAGATTCTTTTATTGATACATTTTAGGTATACAATACATTTACATTTATCATTGGGTACTTGTACCTTTACATGATGTATCTTGGGTCTTATTTTTTCCCCCATTTCCTGTCCTCCCTTCACCCCCTCCACCCTTCCCTACTTACAAAGACTTTGTTTCCATTTTTTCCTTTTCTCATAATTTTTCCTTTCCCTTCTTTCCTTTCCCCTTCCCCTCCCACTTCCCCTACCCCTTTGGACCTTGAACTTTAAGGCCAGTCAGCAGAGAGCATTCATTCTTCAGTGGGTAGCGCTGTGGAAGCGGAGAGGGAGTCTGACCGCCTTGGGGAAGAAGAGAAGGGCAGGCGCTCAGATTGAAGCCCCCAAGGGGTCTGTGGGTGCACCAGGTCTGCACAGGCATAGAAAGTCAGGCCAGACCACCTTAGAGCAGATCCACGGTTCGCAGCTGGAAGGGGATGCCATTCTTCTCGGCGAAGAGGTAGATGGCGCGGCAGGGCTGGGACAGCAGGTCCAGGTAGAGCTCCCCGCCTATGACTCGGACGGGGCTGATGACCGGACCCTAGGGACGGCGGAGACCGGCAGCAGCAATAGTAGTGGCCGCAGTAGTAGTACGTGGTGATCTCTGGGGCTGGAGGGACGGAGCGGGAAAACTACCCAAGAGTCGAGTCAGGGAGAGTACGACCAGAAGTGAAGGCCCTGGCGTTCGCAGACTTTTTTATTTTCTCTTGATATTGGGGGTTGAACCCAAGACACAAGCCTCCCCTGTCTACGACCAGGTAGGTGGGGCCCAGCTCAGAGTCTGACCGCGCGCGACCTGGCTCCGCCTTCCCGAGCCCCCTAGGAAGGGAGGAGGAGGGGTTGCCGGATTTCCGGCCCTCTCCCGTCCCGCACCGCCTCCTCCCTCGGAGTCACGCCCCGCGCGCCGAACGTTCTGGGAGGGTGGGTTACTGCGTGGGTTGCAGTTGGCTCAGACAACAGCCTCGCATTGGTCAGTTAGGAGGCGGTTACCACAGGCCACTGTGACCAGGATCTCTGCGGGCACCGTGGCTCCATCTTTGCCTGCAGCCTCTAGGCTGAAAGGACAAGGAGGAAAAACTACCCGGAAGTCGGGGAGAGTAGAGGAAGGGGCTGGGATTCGCCTGTTTTTTGGATGGAGCGCAGAAGGCTAGAGTTGGAGACTCCAACCCGGCTCAGAAGTTGAATCTCGGGCAGGATGAAAGGAACTATGCAGAGTGGCAGAGGATGGAAAAGGAATGGACTGGAAAAAATGAGGAAAAGGAAATGTAAGAAACGGAGTCTGAAGGAGAGCTCCCAGCAAAGCTGAGGCTTTGCCTCATATTCCAGCCCTATAAAGTATAATGAACCCCTGCTAGTTTTTGGAAAGTCAGTATTTGTTATGTATAAGATAGGGCAGGAAAAAGGAGGTGGAACAGAGAGTAGGAAAAGAAAAGTTCTTTGTACCTCAATCAAGGCCCAGGAGGTTGCTTTCTCATGTGGTTGGAAGCCTGACCACAGCTCTCTAATGCCTAAAGCACCCTCTTAACCACACTGATACTTCTACCTTCGGGAGAGATTTACCCTCTGGAAGGGAAAGAAAGACAGATGGACACACACCAGTAAGTGGTGAGAGGACCACATGGAAGCCCAACCTGGAACCAGGCCTTGGCTACAGCAGGAGCTTCCTCTCACCCAATTCCGTTTCAGGGCTTTTGAGTCCAATAGACCAAGTGTAAGACTAGAGGGATGGAAGAAGACCCTCTGTTACTAATTCTTGCCAATAGGAGACCTCACGAGGGACATTCTTCTTGGATTTGACATACACACTCTGTCTTGGTTAATTTTCTTGTTGCTGAGACAAAATTCCCAAAGTTAAAGGAGGCAAGGTTTATCTGGTTTATAAAGGTTTCAGCCCATACTTGGCTGACTCCAAGGCAGAGTGGCATGGCAGAGGGGTATCACAAAAGAGAAACAGTTCATAGCAGGCTGAAGAAAGCAAAAGCAGCAAGCAGCAAGCCACAAGCAGGGACCCTCTTTCTGTCCCTTATATCCTATCTAGGATACCCGAAAGGTAGGTATTCTAGCACTCACACCCAGGGTGGGGCAACTTTAATCCTAGTAGTTTACCATGAATCAGTCACAGCATCACATCCTTGATCCCAACATCACACACCCTAGGTCCAGTCACCTCCAAAAAGCTCCACCTATGACCTTGTGAGGCTTTTGGGGGACATCGAGAGAGATACAAGCCATAACACACTGTCTCCATCTTAATGTTCATGCTTTGCTCATCCTACCCCAGGGCACCTTGGGGTCTAAGCCCACATTCTTGGGGTTGTCTCCCTACAAAACCTGCCATGATTAGGTGAATGGTTCCTGATGGAATATCCCAATAGAGAAGTCATCAAGCTCCCAAAGTTTTCTGAGGCTGCTTTGATATCTGTAAAATGATTGATGCTGTATCCCTTTGTGGGGTTGTTACAAAGACCTAGTGAGATACTGAAAATGCTTCAGTATTTTCCACAAATGCGAGGGAAAAGTGTAAGACCGAGGGCCTTACCAAACGCTCCGAGGAGCTGACTGCAGCGACGAACACCCGGGAAGGAACACACCGGACAAGTTGGAAAATAAAACAGACCTTTATTAGTCTGGCCAGACGGCACTCCCAAAGCAAAATAGCTTAGAGAGGCAACTGGCTCAGAGTCCGAGGCTGTTTTATAGGGGGTTGAGGGGGAGGTTAACATGTAGATTTACAAAAAAAGGAACAAAGGTTAGTGGTCGACCGTCACGTACTGATGGTCAGCAGACACACTGATGGATTGTTCTACAGGTAGTGGGCCCGGGAACATTCGTTCTCCGGACAAACAAGGGGTTGAGTAATTTTACTTAGGAACTTTGTTTCGTTACAGATTCTATTATCCCAGAACTAACAAGCACATTTTAACCATTAATTTACAAGTACAATAGAGGCTAGAGGAATACTTGATTTTGGAATCATGCAGTCCCACAAAAGCCAGGCTTTAGGAGTCACTGGGGAGAAAAGGGGCTGGAAGCAACTCTTTTGGGGGTTTCATCAGAAAGAATCCAAGCAGTTCCCTCAAAGAGGGGGTAATTGCCATGCAATGCACAGCATGTGAGAGACTGGCAGAATGCCACCTGGGACACTGGAGATGAATAAAACAAATTATTCAGAGTCCAAGATTGCAACAAAGCAAAAAAACCAGAACGAAAGCGACAAAGAATAGGAAAAAGTCACAAACTAAAACCAGTCCAACGGTAATCCAAAAAAAAAGGAATGGAAAAAAAAAAAACAAACCAAGAAAATAAACACACAAGAGAAACTGAGGAGGCCAACGTGAAAAGCTAGAAACATGCAGATGCTAATCGCACCACAAACCAAAGCAAAAAACAGTTCCGTACCCAGCAACTAAAATGACCAGACAAACCCATCTGCCAAACAGAAAAGCGGCACAACAAGCATGGACTCTTAACGACAGCAACCCAAGCACAACAGCCCACAAGAGACAACAGCTGCAAATGCTAAAAAAAGCAATCAGCCAAAAAAAAGAGCTACAGAACCAGAGAGGAAGCTCAAGGACACCAACCCAGGCCCAACAACCAAAAAGACACAAGTGCGACAAATGGTAAAAAAACCACAAAAAAAAAAAAAGAACAGAAGGCACAGGAAAATAAAACAAGTGAAGACAGCGCCGCCCCAAAAACAAAAAGGCCCAAAGTCCAACCCCGGGAACCCCCCCCCCAAAAAAAAGGATTTATCAGTAGTCATAGGAATATAGAACAGTTGAAGAGTTTTTTGATACACTGCAAGAGAGCAGAGGGTGAATTCTAAGCAAAGAATCTATCGACAGAGAAAATCAGGGACCTTTATATTTGATTTTAATGTAAGGAGAATTATTTGGGGACACTCATCAGGTCATGTGCTTTCATCATCCATCTCAGTTTGGGGGACAGCCAGATGCCAGATGTTGTTTGAAGGCTGAGTAATGTTCTGTTCACCAGAGTCCATTGCCCATGGCATTGTTAGAAACAGTCCTTCTGAGTAAATTAACAAATATGTAAAGATTAGCTGAAAGGGCTGGGGATTTAGCTCAGAGGTGGTGCGCCTGCCTGGTAAGCACAAGGGTCCTGAGTTTGATCCTTGGTACTGGAAAAAAAAAGATAAGCTAAAGTTAGTGATCAAGAGGATCAGAATAAAATAGATATGTCTGTACTTGAAAGGGACTTTTGATGTTATATTGGGATAGAGGAAGAAATGGTATTCTTTGAAAGATGACAAACAAGCAGTTAAATTATCTAGTGATGTATTCATAATTCTTGCACATAGCATACAAAGTTCTACTACAGATTCATTACTCAGTTGGAATGTGGGCTTTAAAAAGCAGTAAAATGACCATGATGCCCCATATATCCCAGCCCCTGACAACTCAGCAAAGTCAATTCATTGACTTAGGATGTCATGGTCAATCTTTGCTTACATCCCCTGAAAAGGGATGGAATGGGCCCTAGTATTGGTTTTCCTGAACCACCAGTTAAGAGAGAAAGGGTCATAGGTTTAGGTTGTTTATCTCTTATTAGGACCAGCCATCATTGCTAGGTGAGAATGTGAATTATGATCCACAGGTGACATGTAGTGGAAGGAAAATTGACTCAACCTAAAAGACACAAACTGAAATAAGCAGTTAAAGATCCAAGGCTCTGCCAGATGTGGTGGCACACTTGTAATCCCAGCACTTGAGAGGTGGAACCAAGAGGATGACTGTGAGTTCAAGGCCAGGTTGGGCCGTGTAGTGAGTTCAAAGCAAGCTTGAACTACATACATTTTTTAGACCCTGTCTAAAAAAATAAAACAAATTATCCCTATTATAAGAAGCCATGTCCACCATGAGAAACCCCAAAACCCATTTTCATATTAAGCTGTTATAAGACAGGGTAGGATCAGACGTAACTTGAACTTGTTGACTGAGACCAGAGAGAGTAAAGATATGTTATCTGAACTATCAAGAATATAGACATAGACTTTGATGCATTGTAACATGGTGAAGACAAAATGCACTAGCATATGAAATAAAAGTGTGCCTGTGAGAAGCTGAATTTTTTACTGGAAGGCCTGTTAAATTATTCTTAAATTGACTCAGGATAAACTTATGACATTAGCAGAGTCCCTTCAATTGTTATCATCAGGCACTTCTATGCGAGAACCCTTTTTCACACCTCTTGGCTCTATTTTGCTTTTGGTAAGGCTAACACAAGCGACTCCATCAAGATTTTGACAGCTCTCCTGTTGCTTTACATCCCCTATCTTTTGGAGAGTTTCTCTGAAGGCATCGCTCATCAATTAATGTTCCCCTTGTCTCTGGTTGCCAGAATTCTGTTCTGCTAGTTGATCTTATCTGGTCCCACACCGAGGGGAAGTGACTGACAGTGTACAGTCAGTGTTAGAGCCCCTTTTTAGCCACATTTAAGCTACAAAGAGGTTTTAAAAAGTACAAATTTTACCTGCAGTCCATTGCTAAGTTTGATTTTATATGTGAACAGAACTTTATTCTTTTCCAAGTCTTATATTTTCAACCTCAATTCAACTATCAGCATTTTGAAAATTAAAAACAAATCAAAAAGAAAGAAAAGGGAAGCTTAATGTATTATGTATGTTTCTCGGGGAAACCCAAATTCCCACTTGTAAATAGGGCTTCCGCCCCGTAAGTCCCCTCGGAAATGCAAACCAGTCCCTACCTCCACTATTACCACCCATCCCTGCCACACGCCAACAACCTTTAAAAAAACAAAAAGCAAAAAACACTTCGAGCGCTGTTTTTCAAACCTCAAGCCTGAGCTGGGCATGATAATGCATGCCTGTAATCTCAGCATTCAGGAGGCTGAGGGAGGAGGATCGCTGCGAGTTCGAGGCCAGTTTGGGTTACATAGTGAGTTCAAGGCCAGCCTGCACTACATACCAAGATCCTGTGTAAAAAAAAACTTCAAACCTGAAATTAACGCAGTCACCTACCAAAGACCCTGATCAGTTCCGCCCCCTAAGT